TAGGTCTAGTAATAATATTTTGGATACCAAAATGATGTATTGAGAGGAATTACAGCAGTGCAGCTAACATTTTACTATTGCACGTTTTTACTGCTCTTTTTAATGTCAAGTAGGAATTTTGTAAATCATGCTGATTTTAATAGAGTGGATATGGATAGCAGAATCTGTACCTATATTTCCTGACTATTTATTTTCTGCATCTTTCTTTTGCTGGACCAGCAAAAAGTCATATTCCTTTTACGTGACATTAATTAACCATTAAGTTGTTTAATAGTTCAGGAAAAGAAATAACAAACAATTGTTCTTTATTCCTAAGCTTCATTAAAAACTTGCTTTAAAAGACTCTAAATTTTAGTCCAAACTTGAGAATATGCTGTTCTTTTATATTTTATTTATAACTATTTTATGACTGACAGGGTTAGGAAAGTATATAACAAATTCTTAGATAAGCCTTCAAGGTTACTTCACGTTAGACATGATGGGTAGGAAAAAATACAGGCAGAAGTCAGTTTTTCTTATCTTCTGTATAAACAAGCTGGTTTTTCATCCAAGGCCTTTTCCTTAACTTTCAGCATACCAGATCACTATCAGGCAGTCACAAGGAGAGACATGCAAACATGTTGTTGTTGACTATTTGTCTACTGAATTTATGAATTGGTTTCTAAGAAGATCAGGCTCCTGAGTTCATTCTGTCTTTCTGCTTGCCTGCCGTTCCTTGCCTTTCTCCCCTTCACAATCATTTGTGACTTAGCTGGCTAGTATTAATCATGTTTGATGAAAAGCTGGAGGTCTGTAATTATAGTAAGTTCCTATTTTTACAAAACTCATAGGTGATGGGTAGAGGAGGGAATGCCCTGTTTGTGGGGCTGTCCACCCCACAGCAAGGGAAAAGTAAGGGAAACTCTGTCCTTAGGTGCTGAGTTTGGCACCACGCTGTGGACTGACCTGCAGACTTCTCCTGCGAGCTAAACACCTTCTCCTGTGAGCTGAACAGCAGGTTGTGATGGCAAACATAGGATAATTGTAAATCCATGGGGTAATGCCAAAGTGAGCCAAGGCATGGTGAGATATTAGTGATGTGGAGGGGTTTTAAGGAACACAGAGCTGGGGGCACGCTTGGGGGTCTCTGCAGGCAGCGAGGATATTGCGGGTTTTGGCATGCCGAGGGGGTGAATGGAGCTACTGTGGAATGATATGGGGGATGCTGAGGGAGAGAGCACCAAGGAACCTGTGAAAGAAATGGGGGGCTACCACAGTGAAAGGGTAGAAAACATATGGGGGAAAGAGCTAGGCTGTGAAAAGCACCACAGACACAATGAAAGACTAGGGGTATTTTGTTTGGAGAGCATAAGGTGTTTGTGACGTATATCCTGGAAAACATGTACTATTAATTCTGATGTTTTCTAGTAGTGCCATGTATTAGTTACAATGCATGTTGTTTAAATGAGCCTGATCGACTAACTTCTGCAGTAAATGCTGCTTTTATTTGCTACCACAGGAACTAGATAAGGTCCCTACTACAACATACATAATTTATTTGCATGATGTTTATGAATGACTTTGAAGTATATATTTGGAATTTAAATCTTACCATTAGTAATACCTGTTAGAAACTCAGACATGAGATTCTCAAGTAATTTTTATCCTTCTCAAGTTTATTATGAATTATGTGCAACTGAGGCAGGATCGACATCTTGGAACTTTTTCGTTCATGTATTTAGGGGTTTGGGGACAGTCTTAGTTTGTGGTTATACAGCACCTAATACTTGTCCATGTCATCATGATTCCTGATTCCATTGCAGTATAAGTAATTATAATATAAATTATATTATCTGTTTACAAAACTACTTTATAATATAAAATAATTATAGTACTCAAAACCTAAGTATGGTCTTCATCCATCCTTTGGTCTAAAGAATTATATTTGATGTTGATGCCAGTTCTGCAGGGAGAGGAGTCCTAATGCATGCTGATAAATTGGTGAAGTGAATGAAATGCTTTAGAAGAAAAAGAGTAATTCAGTTAGTTTCCCCCTATATTTTAAAGATAGGGCTACATTAAGCCTTTTCTTACTCACCTACCTTCTTAGCAGTGTTATATAGTTCCACTGTTGGAAGAAATCATGGGAATACTCGTGTAGATTGTCTGCAACTTCCTCATCTCCATGTTGTCTAGACACCAGCAATCTCATAGTATATTCATGCCTCCAGAACATCTGGACTTCCCTTGACTAGAAAGCCCGAATGAGGCAGTAGAACAGAGGGAGCCTGTTTTCCCTTTCAAAGTTCCTTCTTTGCTGGTGGCTAGGTACAGTATTGTAATGAATATCAAATCAGTGTTACACATCACAGCACGGTTCCCAAATTCGTGTTGCAGGGGAAGGGTGAGATAGTGTTATTTATTGCAATATCATTGACTAAAAATGCCATTAGAAATTGTAAGAGATGAATAAAGTGATCTTGAAAAATATTATGGTATATATGTTATCTTCTTGTTGATATTTTATTTTCAGCATAAAAGTACTTAGAAGGCATTCTGGCGGTTGAATAAGGCACAACTGAAACTTCTGTGAGAAAGGCATGGAATTAGTCCATATTTTTGGTACCATCTGCCTTGCTAGGTTATAAAGCCAGGTTACCTAACGTCTGTTTCAGGCATCTTGGTTTTTTTCACACTTTTCTTTCTTCAGTGGCAGAGATGGAGGACACTCCTGCCCCCTTCTTCCTCAATTATCAGGTAGTCAGGGTATTTTCTGGGAGTGGGGATTGTGGTATTAAATCGTTTTGAATGAAAACGAAATCTGCTATTCTTGGACAAATGTTCTTTAGACTTGTTCTCATCAACTGTTGTTAAAGGGGGAGGGAAGAGTGGCAGATTAGGCTGTTTAGCCTAACTTTTTCCAGAGAAACAACTATATGTGTGAATGGGGAGAGGGAGCACTTCTTGGCTCCCTTTCTTTGTCTTGCTGTTACAACTATAATATAGTACCTGTATTTTTTTCTAAGACTCCTTTTCCTTGCTTGAATGTATAGTTTGTCACAGCTATGGCTTGAGAGGGGGAGCTGGAAAAAACCTGCCTCCTCTGAAATAACCTGAACAAAATATTGCCTTAAAGATTTGTGTTAAAGGATGTGGAGACAGCCTCTGCATTCCAGGAGTATCATGGCCAAATATGGATGTCAGGCTTCCCTTTATTAGGTGAAACTGGTGAAATGCAAATAGTAATTGGTCAGTGGGTATAGCCAAATACCCTGTAGAACAAAGTTGGACACTAGCCACATGGCATCTTCTACCTGCCTGACCTCACTTGTCCTAGAACTGGGAGACAGGAAGTCTTGAGGGGTTCCTCCCCACTGCTTTCTAATGCACTCATACCGCCCTGCATCTGAGGCATCTGCTGGCTCCTTCTCCTGGGTGGTTTTTTTTTTTGGCATCTCCTACAAACGGTTGTCTATGGTATGGACACATCTGGCAGTACTGCTGGTGAGCCACTCTGGCTTGTGGGATGATATTTGAAGAGCTCTGCGTTAATCTGTTGTGCAAAGGAAGATGTTCTACTGCAGTTTTTCCATGACTCAGAAAAACAAAGAAACCTAAAAGGTCATATGGTGGTGTGTGATTTGTTTTATGGGTTCATTCAATATTGCCATTGTGCATTTAGCCCAACCACAGTGAGTCAACTGGATTGGATTGACTCAGCCAAAGTAGAGAACTTGCACAACAGTAGGACTTCAGTCATTCAAAATTCCCTTGCTAATGCACATCAAAGAGATGAAATTAGGTATGGAGTGTGGATTTTTCTTAGGGGGGAGTGCTGTTGTACATCTAAAATCAGTTTAAAGTGGAACTTGGGCATGTCAGTATTTTAATGGATCTTGCCCAAGTGTTTTACTACCTTGAACTTCCATTAGTTAGGCAAATAAACCTACTTTCAGGAAAGGATACAGAAATGGGCTTGAACATTTAGGCTTTTCTTGTATTGACTTGGATGGATCTACTTGGATGCTTTGCCAGTATCTTAAATCTCTACACAAACAGCAGAAAGTCATAAGCTGTAAGGTGGAGGAACTGCAGATAACTGTCACACGGTACTCGGTGGCCTAAAAGCTGCTGCTTGAATAATTACGTGACAGCTTCCTATGGCTTTGCAGGGTAACTTGTATGCTTTGGCATTAAAAAGCCCAGTGCCAAGCGCCAGCACTTTTCACCTCCGAGCTGCACTGTGTCACCCGAGCCAGCTGTGGAGAGCAGCTCCCCCGTCCTGCCATGACTAACTTCGGAGCTCCTCTCTGCTGTGCTCCGGAGCCAGTTGTCCATGAAGACGTTTAACTTTCCAAGGAGGGGCCAGATGCCACTCGGCACCAAGCGCCGCTGTCCTTTGGCCGGTGCAGACAGGCGGATGAAAGGCGCAGGCCGCCCGGCAGCGCTGCCCCGAGGCGACGGGGCCCGCGGGTGGCAGCGGGGGAAGAGCCGCCCTCAGCCTCCGCCTCAGGCCGCGGCCGTGCCCCAGGCCTGCCCTTGCCCGAAGGCCTAGCTCCAAGAGTCGGAGGATGAGGCGAGCGTGCGGGGGAGGGACGGCTGTCCTTCGCCCCGGCGGCGCCTCAGGGCCGCGGGCCTCTGTTTCTTCGCCTCCCGGTGTGCCTCGCCCGGCCAGGCCCCGCCGGCCGCCCCTCCCGCAGGAACGGGTAGGGCAGGTTCCTCGGGAGGACTACACCTCCCGGCGTGCCCCGCGGGCCGCGGCCGCGCGGAGCATGTCGGGAGCGCGGCGCCTCGGCCCCGGCGGCATCGCCGCCTCCATGTTCTTGCCCTCCCGCCGGCGCGACGCCGCCCGCTCTTCCCGTGGTGGGTGGGGCCTCGTCCCTCCCCGCTCTGAGCGGCTTCCGCGCAGCCCAATCAGCACTTGCGACGGCGCGGGTTGTAGCCACTGAGAGGCGCCAGGGGGCGGGCCTCCGCCGGCAGCCGGGTAGGTAGCGGTAGTGGCGGTTGCCTGAGAGAGGCCGGGAGCGGCGGTGGCCGCCGAGGGAGGGCGCGAGCCCCGTTTAAAGGGCCAGCTGGCTCGCGCGAAAGTTGTGAGGAGTTCAGCGGTCACCGGCCGGGTGGTGCCCAGGGGCTGGGCCGGGAGCCCCCCTCCGGACGGCGGGGCCGGGGGGCCAGCAGCGGCATGGAGCAGGCAGCGCCCAAGAGGTAACGACCCTCCCCGGTGGCCCCTTCCCCTCCCGGAAGCGGGCGCGGCGGCCTGGCCCGGCTGAGGCCTTGGGCCGG